CTCCTCCTCCTCCTCCTGCTCCTCCCCCCCTCCTCCCCCCCCTCCTCCTCCCCCTCCTCCTCCCCCTCCCCCTCCCCCTCCTCGTCCTCCTCCTCCTCCTCCTCCTCCTCCTCCCTCCCCCAAGCCGTGTCCTGCGGGGAAGCGGGCGGCGGCGAGGGGAGGCTCGCGAGGCCACGAGGCGGCGGGGGTCCTGGCGTCCACCAGCCGAAGGCGCGCTCGGGGTCGCCCCACAGCCAGCACGGGCAGCTGCTGCCGCGCTCGTCCTGGGTGCGCAGGCGCGTGCGGCGAGGAGCACGCTTGCTGTGGATCAGCGGAACCGCGACTGGCCATCGCTCGGACGTCCATTCCCTGTGTTTTTTGTCGGTTTCGTGCGTGGTTTTTGTGGCAGGATGATCCAGGATGCTCCTTAAACATCCCCGCCGAGAAAAAGTGCACACGTCCGAGCGATACCAAGGCGATGGGTACTGACGGGCACGAGCAGCAGCTCCTGAAAGGTCTCCGTGAGAACGCTTCAGCAAGAACAACAACAAAACACATCAGCATCAACACGTGCTTTCTCCACTGCAGTACGAGCCGGGCCACAAGAAGCCTTCCTCTGAAAACCCAGCCCTAAGACCCCACGACGTCCATTGATGTTTGATGTGGCAGCGTCACGCTCTCCATCGCAAAACCATCGAAAACTAAGAAACCCAGGGCACCCTGGAGGCAAGCAAGGCGTTTCTTGACAAGTATTCTAACTGCCTCGTGGCGGCACTGAGTCCCAGATGGGCATCCCTGAGCACGGGGAGGAATCAGTGCGCCTGGCGCGTTTGCGTCTGATGCTGTGTTGGCGGTGGTCGTCTCGGTTGTCCTCGCGGTGCTCAACTTTACACCGGTTGTCACTAGGGTCCCGATGCGGAAGGCGTACACACTCCCCGAGCCTGCGCTGGTCCCCACCACCGCCGGAGCCCCGTCGGAGCCCGGGCAGCCCAGGGCCGAGGACCAGCGAAATTCGCGGGGGGCGGCCCCAGTCTCGTCCCCGGGGGTGGAGCAGCTGCGGGCATCCGACGTGCCACCGCATGCGACTGCGCCTGCGCGTCATGTCTAGCAGGGGCCCCCCTCGTGGTTCGAACAGCGCTGCACTCCGCAGCTAATCGAACAGCATTGGAAGGCCAAGACTGGGAGGCACACGGCGCGCGTCCAGGAGCGTACCGCCGCCCTGTTCAGACAGACGCCCAGTCGGTGGCAACTCGTGGGAGCCTCCCAAACCATCTTGTCGGCTCTTGCGAGTCGACGCTAGTCGACGCTAAATCGATAATCGACGCTGACCGACGCCAGATCGGCGCTATCTCATCCACTCCCAGACGCTGATGGACGCACATCGACGCTAAAGACATATTAAGAGTGTATACCAGGCTCCCATGATTTGCTACCGAGCGTACAGTAGGAGCTCGACCACAAAAAACTTGCCACACGAAACGCAACCCTGACAGCCCAGGATGTCCATTGATTTCTGGTATGGGGACGTCACGTTTCCTATCGTAAAACCATCGGAGCCCAAGAAACCCAGGGCACCCTGGAGGCAAGCAGGCTGTTTCTTGACATGGTCTTCCAATGCATGGCGATCAAATGAAAAAGGCGGGGCTTGCGACGGGCAGGCGAGAGGGCCAGGGAAGGGGAGGATGGGGTCAACGAAGCGTGCGCTTCTTGGAGAGGGCAGGAGGGAGGGCCAGGGGAAGGGGAGGGATGGGGAAACGTTAGTGTGTGTGTGCTTCTTGGGGCGGACGGGCAAGGGGAGCATTGGGGAAGGGGTGGACGGGGAGTGGCCCGTTCGCTTGGACGCGTCCCACGTGGCCTGACGCAGAGTGTGTGTGTGTGTGTGTGTGTGTGTCTGTCTGTCTGTCTGTCTGTCTGTCTGTCTGTCTGTCTGTCTGTCTGTCTGTCTGTCTGTCTGTCTGTCTGTCTGTCTGTCTGTCTGTGTGTGTGCTCGTGGGCGCGGCTGCTCTGCCAGCCGGCTCGGCCGCCGTGCCTGGCGTCCCACGCGGCGCTGACATGTCCTCATTGCAGTGGAGGCCAGTCCACAAGAGACCTTCCACGAGAAACCCAACCCTGAGACCCCAGGACGTGCATGGATTTCTGATGTGGGAGCGCCACTCTTCCTGCAACAGAAAAAACAATCGAAACCCAAAAAACCCAGGGCACCCTGGAGGCAAGCAAGGTGTTTCTTGGCAAACGCCTCCACTATACGGCTTTCGGGGACATCCGCTTCAAAGGTCTATCTGCTGCAATGTCGTGTTTCCCCTTTTATGGAGGTTCGGCCGAAATATGGTTTTCTCTCGCTTTCGCGCAACATGAGGCTGCCCGGGTGAGGAACTCGTCGTGCTGGACTCTGCGGCGCTAATGTTGCACTGTTGCGCAAAATACACTCTCGGCTGCCCGGTGTCGGAGACATCTGCTTCGCGCAAAACATATGAGCCCACTGCGCCTCCAGACAACGAAGCCCAGAAAAGAACGTGATCGGCGACAGAACTGCCCCACCGCCACGTGGAACAGCGCCGTGTCGACGGGGAGGGGCTCTTCGCAAGCAACGAGCAGCCAAATCCCACCAGCCCTTTAGGCCGTGAATGGTTCAGGGTTTTTCTTCTTCCATCCCCGTTCTTTCCCCTCGGAGAAGGCTTATCACTGTTCCCCATTAATATACACCCCCTTCCCCCAGGCAACCGGCAGCCAAACAGGACCAATGTAGACAACCAGGATTATCCCCCCACCATCCCTGTCAAAAACAATACAGGCACGCAAATTCGAAATATGCGCAGCCAACACCACCATCCCTGTCAAAACCACACACATAAAACATACAATGTGGGGCAACGTATTGAGTCATGCTCGTGAGGCCCGCGAGTACATTGTACTGTTGTGACAGGGGCGGCGGTTGTCAGCATATTGCCTGCTGCGCGCAGGGCCCCCATCCCTGTCAAAAACAGAAGTGCCGCAGGGCCACCCTCCCTGACAAAAAACAATACAACATGCACATCGCGGCTAAATCTGGATCATGCTTGGCTTCCCGCGATCCCTGTCAAGTGTTTGTGTTGCAAGAACGGCGCAGGTGATTGTGTATGGCCTGCTGTGCGCAGGCCCACCAGACACACTGATGAGTATTGGTATTCGAAAAAGACGGTGGGGGCCGACGTGCTTCCCGATGTGCGCTGTCACGTGCCAAGCGCACCTGACACACATTCTGCACGTGCCCCGAACGTGGCGCAACTGGCGCGGCTGGAGCATGCGGCACACCTGGCGCACGTGGCGCATCTGGCGCACCAAGCGTGCCTGGCACGATCGGCCCCAGGGGTGCCTGGCGCGCGTGGCGCGCCTGGCACGCGTGGCGCACATCGCCCCAGCGTCGCGCACATGGGTTTGCTTTTGGTACCCAGTAGCTGTCTGTCCGAATACGACCGCTGAGCATTCTGAGGCTCGGGTGTTACTATGTGTTTGACGGGCGGGTGGGAGTGAGCTAGACGTATTGCTATCCACGAGGGGTCGCGACCCTCAGAGCGTCCAAGAAGGACTCGGCGAGAAGGCAACATCATTTATGTTACTAAGGGGGCGGTCAAAGTTTGGCCTCCTGGAGGAGGGCCTAATTGAGTACCCCCCCTTCTTTGATCGGTCACCTCCAGGATGGCCCCAAGATAGCCCCCGAGGCTTCCAGGCCCCAAGAGGCGCCCAGGACGTCCCAAGAGGCCCCGAAGATGCCCCGAAGATGTCCCCAAGAGGCTCTCCAAGAGGCATAAACAGGCTCCCCCGAGGCACCCAAGACGCTTCAAGAGGCCCCGGGGACCGCCAAGAGGCACCCAAGACGCCCCACCAGGCCCACAGGACGCTCTCAAAAGACATCCGAAGAGACTCCGACAAGCATCCAAGAGGCCTATGGCCTTTCTGTTTGCCCTCATCCTCTGTATCTTCCTCCTCTGCCGTCAAAATATTCCTCCTCCCTCCTCTCTTCTCCCTCCTCCCTCTGCCCCTCCCCCTCCTTCTCCTCCTCCTCCTCCTCCTCCTCCTCCTGCTCTGGTTCGTCCTCCATCCTCCCCCTCTTGGGGTACGACAGTTTCCCAGCCTTTAGTCCACTGCGTGCTCCTCCAAATGCCTGGTCATGGCAACTCGCGTGGGCACCGCTTCTGGATGGGCTGATAAGGGTTACGCGAAGCGTCTAGCATTCCGCATGACATTCGGGAGGCCGCTCGGGAAGCACCCGTTCACGGGCGGTGAGCAGAGGGATCTCAAAAGCGATCCGAGAAATCCGCGCAGAACGCCGAACATGTGTGACTTTCCTTCGCGTGCTGCACAGCCTGGCGCGCGAGGCCGCGGATGCGGATGTCTTTCAGCCACAGGCCTACGCGCGAATGCCCGCGCAGTCGAGCCCATGTTCTTCCATCGCTCGTATCACCCTCTGGTGGGCCTGCGCCAGCAGATCAGGACGCCACATCACTCCTTGCCGAAATAGGGCCCAGGGACACACACATAGACAGACACATGTCCCAGGCATCTCCATATCCCCATATCTTCTGAGTGTTCGTCGTCCTCCCAACTCCCTCCCATCGTTTCCCATGCCTTCCTGTGAGTCAGCGATTCAGGCCTACCAAGGCATGATTTAAAAACCCCAGAAGGTTCAAACAACGAAGATACTGTTCTTAGAACGGAAGGCCGATGTGTTAGAACAACACCGTTCTGGCCAGACATGGTCTAAGAACATTTCGTGCAGCCGCTGAAGGTTCCTGGATAATTCTTTGGTGGGCCTATGGGCGAGCCAGGACGCTTCGCCACTGATTGTGCCGCTGCACCGACGGCGCGCGCGCGCGCGGTTGCGCGCGCGCGGGGGGGGGGGGGGAGGATCCAGCGGCACTGCGTCGGGGGCCCGGGCCTCCTCCACAGCAGGGGGGGGGCGCGGAGGGACGGTCAAGAGGGGAGGGTTGAGGAATTAGAGGCCTCCTAGATGGGGTCCGAGCAGATGGGGTCGGAGGATCGCACCACATCGCCAATGCATCGGCAATGCATCGCCGATGCATCAGCGATACATCGGCGACGCCAACGATTTATCGGCAAAGCTGGCGTGGAGAAATGCGGGCTCCGCATCGAGCCGCATCGTCGATACATCGGCGATGCGGCGCGATCCTCCGACCCCATCTACTCGAACCCCATCTAAGAGGTCTAGATGAATGGGGGGCGAGGAGCATCGGGGGGGTGGGAGGGGGGATCGACGAGAGAGGAAAGGGAGGAGCGAGAGGTGGAGCAGGGGGCAGAATGAGGATCGAATGCCGCGGAGAAAGAGGAGGAACATCCAGGAGAAGGGCATACATATCGAGGATTGAAGATCGAGGTGGGTCGAAGTGGGAGGGGGGGGGGCGGATCGGGAGGAGGAGGAGGAGGAGGAGGAGGAGAAAGAGGAGGAGGATCGAGGGTCGAAGATCAGAAAAGAAAGATCGAGGAGGGAGGCGGAGGAGGAAAGAGGATCGATGGAGGGGGGGCGAGAAAGATAACCGAGTGGGACAGGAGGAAGAACATGAAAAGCGGATTACAGCTGTAGAGATCTAGCGAAGGGGGGCCGCATCGTGCCAGGAAGGGGTCCCTCGGGGAAAAGCGGCGGGACCCCCCAAAAGGCACAACCCATCCCAGGTCACATCTCTGGCGATGCCTAGTTAGTGAGCCCACAAAACTGCGTACGCGCCTGGCGATGTACATGAACACAGCCCCTCGATCCGCGAGTCGCGTAATACGAACATCCGCGCAATGCGTACTCTCGAAACCAGTGTGGATTCATGTACGTGTACGTCCTTCTTTCGCTCCTGGCGAGTGATACAGTCAGGTCGGGAATGTCCTCCTACAGGCGGAGTTTGGGCAAAAAATGAAGACTAGCCAGAAAATACCCACAAATATCAAGAGCAGCCGACAAATTGTCCCCAGACAATTTTTTTATTGCTTTTGAACAGTCCTCCCGTTGAAGGACGGGCCGCTCCAAGGCGCCTCTCGCGGGGGGCACGGAGAGCCGGCTCCATGCTCCACGGGGGCCCTGAGGACGCCGACGTTGACCTCTCTCGTTGGAGAACCCGGGGCTCGCCAGGGACTGGGTTCCCTTCCAAAAACAATTCGCCGAACCCCTCCCGAGCCCCCCCGAAAACCCTCCAGGAAGGGTTCCGGGAGGGTCTTTCGGAGGGGTTCGGGAGGGTCTGGGAGGGATTTCTGTCGCTCTGGGAGGAAGCCAATCCCTGGCGGCGAACACTGGGCTCTCTGACTCTCTCGGGGGGGGTCCACCCTTTACTTCCGCCTGGGTCCACCGACCTCCCACCGGCGGCACCACCCGCGAGATGCGTTGGCAGGCTCCTGCTGCCATGCCGCTGGCTTCGGCGAAAGCCCGGGGGAAGCCCCCAGGGCCAGTCTTGGATCTGCGCTGGACCCCCTCCCTGGCGCGTGGAGAGCGCAATGAGCGGCGCCGGAGAAAACGCCACGAGTCCCAGCGCAGATCCGAGAAATCCGCGCAGATCATCGACCAATGTCTATGATGTGTTTTTCCTCTTCAAGTATTGGTCTTCTAGATGCCAGTAGACTTGACCCTACAACTTAACCCCAAAAGTCTCGACCCATGCCCCGGGACCGTTTTCATCCCGAGGAGTTTCTTGACGGCCGCGAGGCCCGGCGAGAGCCCCTGGAGGCCAAAAGTATAGCGAACAACAACCTCCCGGCATAATTTTGCTCGTGAACCGAAAAGGGGTCTGGGGGAGCAGGTAGACTCAGGTCGGGCATGTCCCCTACAGGCGGAGTTTGGAAGAACAACGAAGAACACAAACAATAGTTCAAAAATACCCAAAACTTTAACAACACATTGTCCCACGCTGACGGCGCCGGACCGCGGGCCCGCCGGGCCCTCCTCCTGGCCCTATCTTTCGGCTTCCTTTTTGGGCCAGATCGATATGTGAGGGTCCCAAGCCCCGAACCTGAACGAAATCGCCCGGCCTGAATCGGCAAACATTGGAGGAACAAGATTGAGTCGGCAGGATCTCAGGGCGTCCTGACTTTTTCGTGACTCGAAGGGGTCTGGGGCAGCAGGTCGGCCGGACCCTCCAGCTTGCCTGTACGCCCACGGCAGACCTTCGATCCTCGGACCCCGATCCTTTGGACCTCGGGCCCGGTTCCTCGAACCTCGACCCTGAATCGACCTCGCCGACGACGACCACGCCCACGACATCGACCCTGACGACGACGACGACGACGACGACGACGACCCTGACGACGACGACGACGACGACGACGACGACGACGACGACGACGACGACGACGACGACGACGGTGACGACGACGACCACGACGACGACGACGACGACGACGCCCACGACGCCCACGACGCCCGCAGGGCCGCAGGGCCCGCCCGGGCCCGCCGGGGCCCTCCCAACGGGCGTCCGGCCTGGCACTCCGCACGGGCGTCCAGCACCCGGGGCCGCTTGCCGGGCCGCGCGCCCTCGGGCGCCCGGGGGAGGGAGCTCCTCCCCCTCTGCCTCCGCCTCCTCCTGATGCTCCTCCTCCTCCTGATCCTCCTCCTCCTCCTCCTCCTGATGCTCCCTCCTCCTCCTCCTCCTCCTGATGCTACTCCTCCTCCTCCTCCTCCTCCTCCTCCTCCTCCTGATGCTCCTCCTCCTGCTGATGCTCCTCCTCCTGCTCCTCCTGATGCTCCTCCTCCTCCTGATCCTCCTCCTGATGCTCCTCCTCCTCCTCCCTCCTCCTCCTCCTCCTCCTCCTCCTCCTCCTCCTCCTCCTCCTCCTCCTGATGCTCCTCCTCCTCCTCCTCCTCCTCCTCCTTCTCCTCCTCCACTTCCTCCTCCTCCTCCTCCTCCTCCTCCTCCTCCTCCTCCTCCACCTCGAACGTGAGAAAATCACGACGGACGGTTTTTCGTTGTTTTCAATCTCTGGGGTCCCCCGGGGTCCAGCACCCTGGGCCGCTTGCCGGTCCGCTCGCCCTCGCGCCGGGGGAGGGCGCGGGGGGGAGATGATAATAGAGGCCTCCTCGATGGGGTCGGAGTAGATGGGGTCAGAGGATCGCGTCGCATCGCTGATACACTGGCGATGTATCGCCGATGCATCGGCGACGCACTGGCGATGCATCGCCGACCTCGGAGATGCATCGGCGACGTCGATGTGAAGCGAATCGGCTCCACATCGAGCCGCATCGGCGATGCATCGACGATGCGGCGCGATCCTCCGACCCCATCTGCTCCAACCCCACCTAAGAGGCCTCGAGATAAACAAAATCTGTGCCCCGAACCTTTTGGGAGGGGACCTAAGTTAGGAGAGCCAGAAGCATTAGGGCTCTGAGGATGTATCCAAACAAACGGCCAGATGTATCATCCATAATGCAGAGACGAGGACCTAAGCAAGGCCACCCATTCACTATGTTATTAGGGTTAGGGTTCTTCGATCCTTGATGCGGACAGGGAGAGAGAGAGAGAGAGAGAAAACAAAAAAAGAGACAAAGAGAGAGAGAGAGAGAGAGAAAGAAAGAAAAACGACCCACACCACCTCGAATCTTGAACAAAACATGACGCGGACGGTGTTCCGCTACTTTCAGCTTCAAAGGGCCCTCGCTGGGCCTCGGGACCGTCAAAAAACGACTAGGGATGAAGAACTGGTCCCAGGGAATGTGGGTCGAGACCTCTGGAAGTCGCGTTAAGGACAACTCATGACGTCGGAGGTCTGGAAGGGGGAGGGAGACGAGGGTGAGGGTGCTTGTGTGTACATGTATGCGTGCTGGGGGAAGGGAGGGGTACGAGGGCGAAGGAGACGAGGGTTAGCAGTGCAAAGCAAAGCTGTGCAAAGCCATGCACAGCGAAGCAAAACGGTGCAAAGCAGCGCAGAGCAGAACCGCACGGCGCAGATGGCGGCGACGACGAGCGGCGACGGGCGGCCACCCGCCGGACCGCCTGTGGGGCCAGGCGGCGGCGGGCGGCGACGGACGCAGACGGGCGGCCAGAAGCGGGTCGGACAGGCACGGGGGACGCCTTTTGCCCTGGAGCAGGAGCAGAGCGCAAGCACTGCTTGGGGTATCCGCCTAAATGTTGCTAGAGATGCCTTTGTGGGCCAGCGCGGGCCCGAAGCGGTGCGGCACTGCACTGTAGAGGTGGTAGCTACGAGGTGCAGGCTATTCGGCGTAAGTCGGTCGTGCAGGAGACGTAGTGCGAGCTATGCAGCAGGAACAGATGCGGTGTAGGATATGTGGTGTAATGTATGCCGCGTGCGCCATGCCGTGTGAGCTGTAGGTGGAAGCTGCGCGGCCTGCGCTGCACGGTGCGAGTCATGCTGAGCAAGCTCTGCGGCTCAGGCTACTACTTGCTATGAGGCAAGTCGTGCAGACGGTGCGGCCAGAGCTGTGTGGTGCAAAGCTCGGCGCACGGGACGCCCACGAGCGCCCTCGGGGCGGCTCGGGCAGCAGCGCGGCGCAACCACAGCAGCCCCGCCCTCCGCGCCCGGGGCGCCCACGAGCGCCCGCGAGGCGGCACGGGCGGCGGCGTGGTGCAACCACGGCAGCCCCCACCCCGCGCACGGGGCGACCACGCGCGCCCATGGGGCGGCAAGGGCGGCAACGTGGCGCGAGCGAGGCAACCCTCCCCCGGCACCCGGGGCGCACACGAGCGCGCAAGAGGCCGCACGGGAGCAACTCAGCGAAAACTGGAGTGCCCAACGTAATACTCAAAACAGAGACGTCAGAAACCCTGAGCGCCTGGACTGTTTGGGGATGTGCATACGTGCATCCCAGTGCATCTGAAGTATGAGAAAAGCGTGCGTATACATGCATGTACACATATACGCATAACTACGCTTTCAAATCGTCTCCCTCTCTCTCTCTCTCTATATATAGATATGTACCCATACACGCATCACCGCCAAAAGAAGTGCATCCACAGGTCCTTTAGGGTCCTCTGCACTGGGTACTGTGATGCTTTCTCCAAAGGCCCACCACCTCCAAGTCCCAGGCGTTGCCGGGCGCTCTTGGGGCTTCTTGCGTGTTGTCGCATGGCTGTCCCCGAAGCAAGAACGCCCCAAAACGGGCTAGGAAGGTCTCAAGACGCCCCGGAGACGGCTCCGAGTCGCCCAAGTCAATCGCACTCGGGGTGCGGGCGCGGGCGCAGGCGCAGGGAGGAAGACGAGGGTGAGGGTGCCATGTGGCTCTGGGGTGTGTCTTCGTATCCACACATAGCCTCAGACCCATCGTTCGTGAGAAGTGGGTCGAACACATGAATCAAGCAAGATGACTTTGATTGAAGATTGGGCTCCCGCTCGCCCCGCGAAAAGGAGGGCAGAGGGAAGGCCACTCGACCCTTGGAATAGGAGGGCGCCTGGAGTAGTTTAGAACCTGGGGATCCGAAAATACCCAGGTTCAACAACCAATAAGCACGCGCACACACTACCTCGACCAGGGCAGGCACAGACAAAGAGAAATCGACTTGTCGTGGCGGCGCGGGGGTGGTGCGCACTTCCACAACAACAGAGGCCGCGCCCTGCGCCCGACCCGACGGATACAACACACCCACCCGCACCACCAAACTCACGGTGGGACGACGTGAAGGCAGAGGTCAGATTCCAGACCTGGACAGGGAGGGGAAGACCGACGTTGTCTCCGCTCGCGGGTCCAAGTAGGAGGATAATGCTGTCAAGATAAGATTGGATCAGGATGCGATCCAGGATTAGCGTATCCAACAGCTCGCGCGCGCCATGGCGAACAGCCCCGTCGGGGCACGCTGTCGGTGCCGTGGCGATAGCGGTGACGAGCTCAGGGAGCAGCTTCAATGGTTGCTGCGCCAAGAACGCGCACGTCGTGCCGTGGATGTCGCGTCGCATCCTCAGCTTCGCGAAAGCGGCGAGCTCGCGCAAGTACCTGGTATGCTTGCCGCACGAAAAATGAAAGACGCACGTCGCCATGTCAGTATCGTGGACCTTCAGCCATGGCCCGACACGCTCCACGCCGGCTGCGACCAGATCCAACTCCGAGTCATCCTACAAATGGCTGCGATTGATGAACCGCTGGTGCACCTACAGGAGACTGGGCGCGAATCTGCTTCCTGGGGACAGCGTGGCTCACGCAACTAGCTTCTTGGAGGAAACCCACGAAGCGATGGGAACTTGTCCCCCACGACTGCCCTGATGAACAAGTACAAGATGCCGCGATCGAGGGACCCCTGGATGGACGGGCACATAGACAACGCCTAGCTGGGAACGCGCCCGCCTCCTCCCCCATCGGCTGGGGGGCGGGGGGCGAGCAGAAAGGCCGACGCGCCTGCAGGTGGCGCGTTGGCCCTTCTGTCCCCCCCCCACCGCTCCCCGCCGCCAGCAGGTCAGGCGTGCGGAATCATTCCCATGGCGGCTTGGCGCAGTCAGTGCGCCACCCGCTGCCCATTGGCAGCTCCCGGTTGGCCTTGGCTTCGCAATGCAAGCACGCCGGCCCATTGGTCGCCTGAGGGCGCGCGCGACGGTCAGGGCCTTGACGTCTGCCTCGGACACGGGGGGGAGGCATCCTGTCGCTGGACGCGATCGGATTGCGAACGGACTCCATGTGCTTCTGGCCACTGGCGCCAAGGGCTCTCTCCGACGCTATGGCGCCACGCACTTGCTGCCAACCCCGTCGTGGTTGCACGATTCAGTCCACGAAGTCGTGCGCGTCTAGCACGCCGGCTCCGAGACCACCTGTGGCCAGCTTGCGGCGCCGTGCGGGTGCAATTTCCACGACCTCCCTGTACGCTGCGTCACTCGCCAAACAGAGGGATTGGACACCTTCTCTCCCGCCGCCGCGATCTGCGACGCCCAGTCGTTACCGTCTGCGCCTGCAAATGACTGCAATATTGAATTCATCACAGGGACAACATCATCGCACACGATTTCCCAAACAATGACAGATAAGTCAGCGAACGCCCAGCACCCTGTGATGTATAGTCGCACACGCAGAGTAAAACACAATATGGACTACAGCTTGAGCCAACATGGCTGAAGGCTTGCAGTCGTGCTTCAGTTTTTGTCCACCAGGCTTGCGACGGCATATCTTTGCTTCAGGGGCCATTGTGCCACAGACATTACCACTGCTTGTGACAACGGTATAAGGCTAACCGAAGGATCAGGCTTTGCTATCGTCGTGGCAAACGTGATTACCAACCCCCGCGACATCGACTGCGATACAGAGCAAACAATATGTTAAACTGGTTATACTACCCCTCCTCTCCGGGAGATCCAGTTAGCTGTGGAGACAATCGGCATGTGGACGATGTCGGAGACTGTGGTCAACCCCACGCCACTAGATATGTTCAGCTTCAAGACGTGGATCAAGTGCCAACGCATCATATAACTAGTTTCTACCCACGTACACCGATCGCACACAGCTGCAAAACGAACCATCGGTTCTGGTGGGTGGGAAACAAACACATAATGTATTATCATAAGTGGCACGCTCCTCGTCTTTAACTCGGCGGCGAGCGAGGGGGGCAATGAGATGGAGACGGCCTTCTCAGAAGGCGGCGGGACTTCTAAGAAGCCCTCGCGCCTTCTGAGAAGTTGTTTCTGTCTACAGGGACGGCTTAGAAACCTTCTCAGAAGGCTGGGGGACTTCCGAGCCTTCTGGGAAGGCCTTCTCTCATTCTCGTTTCCCCCCCTCGCTCGCCGCCGATTCACAAAACCTGCTGCCGGTCTCACTCTTGCCATACCCGTTTCGATCGTGACGAATTTTAGCAGGGACCGACCGTCCCAGCATTCCTGTAGTCCTAGCGCGAAGTGTTCTCAGAACCCGAAAATGTTCGAAGAACAAAACAGTGTTCTGAGAGCACAAGCCCGATGTGCTAAAACAGGGCAGACTCCGCCAGGCATGTTCTGAGCACACTCTCCGTGGGAACCACGGGCGGTTCTTAGAACTTTGCTTGGTGGGGCTATAGTAGGGGGAAAACAAACCTCCCTCGCTTTTGACCACCCTCGCTTCCAAGAGATACCAAACGATGCCAAATTGCAGCCTGTACTGGTCAGGCCGCTTGACGAGGAGGCGCGTGGTACGACTTGGTTTTGCCTGGAAGCGAAAGCGGGGGAGGTAATTCACGCTCTGATATAGGGCGAGCCAGGACGCTTCGCCACTGCTTGACGAACATCGGCGGCCTCGTCGTCGGCCGCCGACTCGGCAGGCCCGGCAGCCGCTGCCAGCGGGCGCGCGGCCTCCGCCTCGCCGGGCTCGGCAGCCGCGGGCGCTCCGCCGCCGGCGGGCGTCGCCGCGGCGGGCCCCTCCGCGGCAGCCATCCGCCGCTCCGCCGCGGGCGACGCTGGCCGCGGCGACCCGCCGCGGGCGGGCACGGCCGCGGGCACAGCTCTGGGCCACGCGACCCCCTCGAGCCACGCGGGAGAGAACGTGTCAGCGCCCCTCTCTAGCGGGGACTCCACCAACGGGTACACGTTGGCCAGCGGCCCGGCGAACCCACCCCTCCCCGATGTGGGCAGCGCTGCAATGCCAGAACGAGGCCCCAAAGCGGCATCTTTCAGCACATCTCCAAAATACCCGTCAGTGAGTACCCGTTACGGTGCCGCTGAACACGACGGACATGTTTGTTCCCCGGTTTCGGCCTCATGGGGGCCCTCTCTGGGCCTCGCGAGGCTGCAAAAGACAGCTCGGGGGAAACGCCGCCGAACCTGGGGGAGGGGCCGGGCCTTCCGGGGATCGGCGCTGGGAACAGATCGTGACGCCGGGGGTCTGGGGAGAAGGCCAACGTACGCACCTGCTCCGGTTCATCATAACAAAAACAACAAAAAAAAAACGAAGCCTCCCGCATGTTGGAGGGGGAAGACGGCGGCAGCTCAAGCTCGGCCCCGAGGCCCCGACGCACAGGATCCCTGAGCTGCGTCGAACCGCGGCGACGACGAGCCCCTCCGAAGGCCGAGTGCCGGTGCCTCACCCCGCCCTCCTCCAGGCCTGGCCTTCGAGCACACGGGGTCGGGTGGCCGCGCCGCATCGCCGAGGCATCGGCGACGTCGGCGGTGCATCGGCCCAACTTGCCCCCCCGAGGGGCGACGGATCCCCGGCGAGGCGTCGTGGGGGCCACGGAGCCGGCCACGGCGTGCGTCCGCAGCCTGGCCCCTGAGGCACCCTCCCCAGACTGGTACGGGAGCAGCCGCTTGGCTCCAACTATGTTTGTGCGATCGGGTTTTTGTGACCAAACAGGAGTGCATGTTGATCAACATTGAGCCCTTGTGCATGTTGATCAACATTAAGCCCTTCAATGGACACCCGGTTGATTCCCCATGTTCGGAGAATAGTACTGTCGAATATTGGGAACCACCTCTCCAGGCCACGCCTGCTCTGGGGTACGCTCTGCCTCCCCTGACGGTCCAGTCCAGGTCAGGCCCGCGCCCAGACATCCGCTGGCTCGAACTCAGATCGGCGCGGCCGGCAGGTCATCACGTCTGGGCCCACGCGGGCCATCAGACAGTGCCTGGGCGCGCGCGTCTCGAACGGATGGAGGCGCTAGGACATAAGCCTCTATGAGCCTACGTGCGCGACCTCTCTGCCAGGCCGCGAGAGCAGGTACGCCGATGCTGCGGGCGGGATGAGAGTCCTGGCCCGGAACCGAGGAAGAGCAAAAACGGCATGCGCGTAAACTTCCGGAGGCGTGAACTTCCCGCGCTCCGCGCAAATCGATCGGACTGGTGCTGAATCGTCCTCTGCGGCGCGAGGGGCGCGCCAGAGGCGGCGCCGGAGGCGCTGCCAGGGATGCCCTGCGCCGATCCAAGGAATCCCCGCGAAGCGCCGAAAAATTGTGCTTGTACAATTTGTTGTACCATTCAGCGCCCCTGACGGGGACTCCACTAACGGGCACTTTGGCCTGTGACCCAGCAAACCCAATCCTGCCCAATGTGGGCAACGCTGAAATGCCAGAAGGAAGCCCTAAAGCGGCAACTTTCGGCACTTGTCCAAAAATACCCGTTACTGAGTACCCGTTACCGTGCCGCTGAACCATTCGAGGATCTACTGACCCGGGTCAATCCAAACCTGGGTCAGTCAGGCCTTGCAGGATCCTGCAAGATCCTGCAGGATCCTGCGCCAAAGCCTGGGCCAACGCGACCATGGCCCTGCAGGATCCTGCAAGATCTGGCGTTCTGGCTGACCTCCGTTTGCATTGACCCCCGTCGCTTGAGCCGCGGAAGCGGATGCGGAGGCGGATGCGGAGGCGGAGGAGGAGGCGGAGGAGGAGGAGGAGGAAGAGGAGGAGGAGGAGAAGGATAGGAGGATAGGAGGATAGGAGGATAGGAGGATAAGAGGATAGGAGCATAGGAGGAAAGAAGGAAACGAAGATAGGAGGAGCAAGCAAGCAAGACCTGGTCAGCCGTAGTCTCCGCTGTCTGGCTCACCTCTGCTGGGGGGGAGGAGGAGAGGAGGAGGAGAGGAGGAGGAGGAGGAGGAGGAGGAGGGAGGAGGAGGAGGAGGAGGAGGAGGAGGAGGAGGAGGAGGAGGAGGAGGAGGAGGAGGAGGAGGAGGAGGAGGAGGAAGGGAGCAAAAGGAGGAATGGGAGGAGGAGGAGGAGGTGGAGGAGGAAGAGGAGGACCCATTGCGGCGCCGCTGAACCATTCCTCGAGGCACGGTGCCGGTGCATACCTGGCGCCCTCTCCGAGCATCGTGCGCGCGGCGGCTCTCCGGGCGGAGGAGGCCCTCGGGGGCCGGGCGCGCGGAGCTGCAGGAGGCGGGAGGCCACCCCTTTCCCTTTCCGCTCCACACTCCAGCACCGATACACACTATTTACCCTCTCTCTCTCTTTCTCGCTCTCTCTCTCTCTCTCTGCCTTTCTCGCGCTCCATCGCTCCTCTGGTGTTTATCTCTCTCTCTCTCTCTCTCTCTTTCTCGTCCTCACTCTCGCTCTGCCAGCTCCCTCTCTCCCTCGCCCTCTCTCTCTCTCTCTTTCTCGCCGCCCGAGCCCTGCCAGCGGTCCGCCGGCCGAGGGGGGCGCACGGGCCGGACGAGGGCGCCAGAGCGTGCGTGTCTCCTCGCACGCCCGGGTGGCTCGGCGCCTTTGCGCTCGGCGTGGGGCTTCCATGCGCCGCGCCCCTTCGCGGACGCGTCCTGCGACGAGGCCAGAGCGAGGATGCCCATCCTCTGGCGGGCCTGCTTTCCACCACCACCACCACCAGAAGTTGGAGGGGGGAAGGAGGAGGACGAGGAGGAGGAGGAGGAGGACGGAGAGGATTTTTTGGACATCGACATCAAAGGTGGGCGCCTGCCCTGACAATTAGAGCAGGCTGGCTGACCAAGGCCAGCAGGTTACTAACACCTGAAAAGATTGAGGAAAGGCAGGAGGCCACAGAAGACATCTCCACCTGGCTGGAGGACTCCCCGTGGCTAGCTGCTTCTCCCCCAGGCATTAGTCTGAACTTGAGTCGCCCTCGTCGCGGTGTGCGAGCACCGAGACTAAAGGTGCCTCTCTTGCTCCACACCGAAGAGGGGACGGGGCACTGGGCAACTCAATTCGAGGATCCTCCTCGAAAAGGAAATGGGCAGCCTCCACTTCGGCAGCCCACACGTCGACACCTCCCGCTGGCGCTGAGACAGCCTGGCGCCCAGCAGAAGAGGCAGCGTCACTCCTCCCCCCCACGCCAGACTCCAAGCCGTCCCCGCCACCCAGAGTACCAGAAGGCGAAAGGTGCGGCAGAAAGGCAGCCCCTAACCTGGCTGTTCGGCCCCCACCAAGCTGCGCCCAGGGTCCACGCTCAACCGTGACCCCTGGACGCTTTGGGTGAAGGCCTCTGCAAACAGGGTCCCAATTATTATAACGCTTCGACCGAGTGGGAGCAACACACTTCTCCGCAAGGCCACAGCTCCTGCCGTGCGAAGAGTATGAAAAACACTTGGTGCAAATGACAAGAGCGGCGCTGTCAGAGCACAAGAGAGTCAAAGACCTGTGTCCCCGCGCCTCCAGGGTTCTCGGCTCGAGCCCGCGAACAAGAACACAACGAGACGAAGGAAGCGGGGGGCCGTGGGTCGGAAGGCGACTGACTTTAGCACACACAGGGAGCACTTCCAAAAACCTGAAGCAGAACAAAACTCAACCGTCTGAATCGGAACCCAGGCACAGGTGACGTGCTGCGCCGAGGGGGAGGGGTTCTTTGGTGGCTTCGTCCACAGCACACCCTGGAAGTCCAATCTGGGCCACTTGGGCATCAGCTTCGCCGCGAAGAGAACTACAGCCCTGGCCAACTTAATAGCCAGACCGAGCCTGGAGGAAGCCTCCTCAGGTGGCCGAGGGTGCCCCCAAGAAACCCTCACCAGCAGAAGCACTCTTGGCTCCAACATCGGCGTCGTGATTCCCATAGTGGCACATTTTGTCTCTATCATCGGTCCACTCGTCAAGCGACAGGTGGGCCTTGACCTCATGCAAGGCGCGGACCTTCCATAATTCATGGCAGAGAGAAAAAGAGACACCACCGCAACAACGCTTGGGGGAGAGCTGGTCCACCCTGGGACGCTCGAAGTGGTCTTTAACCAGCTGCGCGTCCGTGAAAAATATGATGGCTCCACTGCAAACATGACGGACTGGCAGAAAGCTGCAAACTTACCAGCAGGGGCAGTCTGGGGGTAACAGGGGGGAACTGGGCCGCACAGCTTGCCACGAAGTTCACCCTGATCGCCCACGGCCGCAAAACACCAGCCTGCCCTGCTGAGCTCACGAACGACATGCCTGGAAGAGCTGCCGTCGTTGAATATATTACCCTTGAAAGGAAATAAGGCAGCCTCCTCAGGAAAAATCTTCCCTGGCCCAGAAGGCCCCCGTGGCCTCGGAGGCGGGGCCAGGAAAATAGTCTCCAGGATGAGCGAAAACACCAAAACAAGATCTGACCGAATTAGGCTCCTCCAGAGCCTTCTGGGCAATGTCGGGCGGAATCAAACTTTCGCGAATCTCGACTACCTCTTGGCAACCGCAGGCCCAGAGTCTGTGGCGGAGCGTGTCAGCGACAGCACCGCAGAGAGGGCACGTCGGGTCAATCTGATACCCTAGGCGACGAGCTTTCGAACCAATCCAGACCGCATCAGTTGCAACAGCTCGGACGCATCCTTTTTCGAGCGAAGAATACCGCTTGCGGCGAAGCTCTGCCTTCACCACGTCGAAACAGAGACGATGAGGAGCATCCCATTTAGCACCTGCTTCCCATTCAAAAGTACGAAACACAGCACCTCTGAAATGTTGCTTCATGAGCTGGGGGGACATGGGGGCCATGGAGAGCTCCACCCCCTTGTCGGTGAAAAAAGTGGCGGGGTCCCTCATCGCCCGCGAGATCCTCTCCAAGGACTTGCGCATGGCGGCCGCAGGGCCTCCTACAGCTCGCCAAGAAGGGGGCTCTTGAAAAAAATACACCTTCCCAGGCCCCCCTCAGCCCGTGAACAAAATCGAGCCTTCAGAGGCCCTGACCTGCGAGCACCACAGCTCCTTGTGCCACCTCAAGAGGGGCGCCACCGCTCCGACCCAGGCAGGCCCCCCTTCCAGGTGGGACTAAACGGTCAGGGGGCGTTGGCCAGCCGAAGGTTAATTAGTGGAAGCCGCAGCCCTACGAATAAGCAGAAGTTCGTAATCCGCGACACCTCTAACCTCGCTGCCGTAGAGAAGGCCAGGGAGAGGCCCAGCCGTAAAAACACAAAGGGTTCTCCGAGAACCCAAGGCCTGCCTGAGACAAGCCACCCTGGCCGTGCGTTTCTTAAACAGGTGCCTCCTAGCACGCTGCTTTTTACTTCGGCCCGGACCCCGAGGCTCTTGCCCGCAGAGTCGTCAACCCCAAGGTTCACAGCGCTAGAGGTGATAGGGCCAGTGAGAACAACTCCAAGATTGGCCTGGATGGCCCTGCCTAACTTGGATTTGTCAGCCGCCACCTGAGCTCCGATGCCGCCCACGATGGCGGCGTGTAGCTGGGGCGCGCCCTCGGAAATGGCGCCCACCACAAAACTAAAGGTGCCGACCGCACTGAGCCCAGAGTCGTCAATGTAGAGCGCCAGCTCCGCACCCTGCCTCAGCCTAACACGATCGAGCGATTCCAAGGACCTGACTCTGATGAGGGTCGTAGCCAGAGAACGCCCCGCGATGATGCCGAGGGGCGCAAACCAAGGACCGTCCAGACACCCGCCCAGGGAAAGAAACCTCGGGGCCCGATAGGCCCTGATGGCCAGCTTAGCCATGGCAGAGGGGGAAATCCAACCTATGACATCCCTCGAGAAGTCGCTCGAGGTGAATAAGCTCATAGTATGTGTACATGTCCTGAAGACGCGCCGCCGCGTGCAAGTGACGAGACGAGCCGCTTTCGCTGCGGAGGCTCTGACGCCAAACCACATCGGCCGCCCCTTGGTACTTGCCCGCGGCAAAGTAGGGGCGAGCGTGCACCCAATCCCAACTCTCGGCGAGGCCCCGCCGCGCTTTGGCCCACAAACGATAAAGCCCCATGAAAATCCCAATTGGCCGAAAACCCCGGCTAGGTTCCCCCGGGAGAGCCAAAACAGTGGCATCAAGCTGAGCAGGAAGCATGCTGGAGATCTCCATGACCTGCATGATCCTACTCAGGGCAAGAATCCCAGAAAGGGACATCATGCTGAAGTGTTTCATGTGAAAACCGTCCACCCCACCGCCGAGGTAACCTTGTAAGTCCTGGAGATGCGAATAGGCTCCTCGGGGCCCAAGGGGGGGGGGGGGGCTCAGGGGCAGGAACAAAGTAAGCGGCAGGTCCCCCCATGCTAGGGGTATCGGACCCACGCCAAAGCTCGGTGAACTTGTCTCTCTCTTCGGCCAGCAAAGACCTCGGATCGCTGACAATGCATCCGTGGGCCGAAAAAGTAGAGGACGGTTTCCACGGCTTGGGCTCAGACGTCACCATGTGTGCACGTCTGGCGCCCTGATCAATGTTCTCGCTGAGCCAGCTGCGCCACGCCGCCAGGCTCTTTTCCCTGGCGCTACTCTCGGCCTTGGAGACCACGTCCGCAGCCAAGAAGGACAAATCTGAAATCGCCTGCTGGTGATCACTGAGTTGGCCCTTGTCCAACTGTCGAACCAAGGTCTGCAAGGTGCCCAGGAGACCGTGCTGGTTTTCCAAATGCTCAGCGACGAAGGGAAGGGGTTTCAAATCGCAAGACCTCAGAGCCCAGAGACAAGGGGGCGGGGAAGTGGAAACCGACGAACCTAAAACGCAACTGCTCGAGCGGTCACCGTCGTCGCCGTCGCCGTCAACCCCCGTCTGGACACGTTGGGTGGCTCTGTCTCGAGACGAAAGTAACACCTTGCAATCCAATATTCGATTATAGAGCCACCTGACCGAGTGCAGAAAAGGGCGCCTGCATGGTTCCCTGTCTCGAGAAAACATTGGCTTCCAGACAAGTTGGGGGCCCTTGCCCCTAGCCCCCCAAAAAAGGCAAAGAGACTTGGGTGGCATTGGCAACCTCAACCTCAGCAAGGTTGGCCCACCACTGGTAAGTTCGACGAAGCAGCCTCTGAGTTTCCTGTCCACGGCCTTCCCTCGCAGCCTCTAGGGCCGCATCCAAAACCACGAGAACAGGGCCCCCAGAAGGGGGTTCCCGAGTAGGGCCGATGGCCCTGAGAGGAGGGAGAGAGGGGGCTTCCGAAGCTCAAGAACTTTAAGCTGAGCGGGGGAGGGGGATAACTCAAGATCCATATGAGAAAGGGGGGTAAGGGGGGAGTTACGATTGACTGTCACCTGCCTGACAACCTTGTAGATGGCAGCCGAGACAACGAAGAAATCCAAAACCTTGAGGCCTCCCGTGCGGCGGAGCGTGTAGCCTCCGCCGGTCGGGGAGATCATCTGGCCTTTGAACTCGGGAACGAACTGGGATTGCTGCAGTTCGCCAGGTGTCATATTGAAGTCGCCCCCCAAGATGACTGGGAGGTCCGAGTGAGAAAGTCCAGCACCGATACGTGATAGTAGTTCCACGTTGCGTTCTGACAAACCTTCGGCATCGTAGAGATAGGCTGACCCGACAAGGACCTGGAAACCTCCTGGAATGTCGACAACGCACGCTCCAGCACGATGAGGGGGCAGCACGAAGCCCGACGACAGCGTGTCAAGCCCAATATAAGACCTTGCCAAAACGGCGACACCTCCAGAAGGCCCAGCGCCCTCCCCACGCGCAGCCGCCGCCCAACACGACTTCCAGCCACGACGAAAGAGCCACTCGGAAGCCTTAGAGATGTCTTCTTCTGAGCACAAGTGGTGTTCGTGAACTAACAACACATGCGCAGTAGTCATTGGCAGCCACTTAAGCTCTAGCGACAGCCAACCTGTAACATTACACGTCTGGACACAGAGCGAGAAATCCTCTAAAGCGGGAGGAACAGGCGGCCTTAGAACCCCTTCCACAGGGACTCCAAGGGCCACATCCTTGCTGAGGAGAGGGGAAGAGCCAGACGCAACTGAGGGACTGAGAATGGCGCAGCTGCGACCCAGGCGAAACATCTGCAGCAGCAGCAGCCCTGGCCTTCTTAGCCGCTGCCTCGATGAAAGAAGAAACTCTCTCCCTGGACTCTGCCGAGACCGCCTCCGACTGAGCCTCCTTCCAGGCACGTAAAAAGTTTTCGAAAGCATCAGAGTCAATAGGATCAACCTGGGGCACGTCTTCATCCCCAGGCGTGGCAGTACCCGCCCCAGCCCCAGAGCCCGACCCCTCCCCCTCGTCAGCTGCAGCTCCGCCAGCTCCGCTGGCAGGCTGCGGCCCTTGGGCAAAAGTCTCGCAGCTCGGCTTGAGCTTGGCCCAGCCCTCGCGGATTGCCTCCAGGTCGCCCGACGCCAACGCGGAGTCAAAGTCGGACATGTGACCTTGGAGCTCCGCCGCCTGCGGGGGCGGCGGCAGGTCGGCCACCTTGGCCGCCAGCTCGGGGTAGCGAGCCTTGAGCTGTCCTGCTGAGAAGCAGCCTCAGCACGCCTTTCGTTGAGCTCCTTGAAACGCGCCTGCGCATCACTGATCTGCTTGTCGAGAGATGCCACAGTGCGTTCGTTCTTCTCCAATGCCTGCTGAGCCTCGTTGGCCTGCCGACGGACGGGACGAGCTTCTGACTGCCGAGAACGAATGGCTGTGGCAGAGGCCTCCACTGAGCTGTCCACCGCCGCGCGCTCTGGGAAGTCCTCCTTGAGCTGGCCCATGAGCATCTTGATCTGCGAAAGCAAGGACAGGGGATCCGAGGGGAGAGCCAGCTTGCCGCCTCGACCACCAGGACCACCAGCCCCTTTGCCTCCGCCGCCGATGCCCCCGCCACCGCCAGAGCCTCCTTTGTTTCCACCCTTGCCGCCGAAAGAACCACGATTCCCGCGCTTGAAGCCGATGAGGGGAGATCCGTCTTCCCACACACCAGCAGGAGTAGGCTGAGCACCAACAGACACTTGCGGAATAGGCGCCCAGCAATTTGCACACCATTTGTACCAAGGTTTGTTGCACTTCGCGGCGCCACACGCGAGACACTTCGCACCGATGACCTCACGCTCCGGTCCCATGGGAGACGCGCGCGAGAGCGAGCACAGACAGAACGAGCCAGAATGACCCGCTAGCGCAATGTGCCGTTCTGAAGCATGCGCTAGCAAGCCCAAAAACTTGGGCCAGAACGGCTAGGAGGACGGAGAGGAGGGGGAGGAGGAGGAGGAGGAGGAGGAGGAGGAGGAGGAGGAGGAGGAGGAGGAGGAGGAGGAGGAGGAGGAGGACCCCCCTCCCCTCCAACTTATGGTGGTGGTGGAAGACAGGCCCATCAAAGTAGGTAGAGACATAAATTAGGAAGGCGTTGAAAGTAGATTGGGTGTCCGCCCGCCCCTCGGGGAGGACGGGCAACGTGCAGCCACTCGATCCTCGGAGCAGGAAGGCGATTCAAAGCAAGTTGAGATCTGGAACTCCAGAAATACCTACTCTCCGCGACCGATGGGTAAAGTCGAGTGCGGATGAATCGGAGATCTCTGAGCTCCGGCGGCTCTGGAGAATGTCTCGGGCGCCGCGGCGTTCCCAGGGCGCTCCGGAACGCCCTGAGAGCGCTCCGGGAGGGGGGCGAAGACACGTGCCCCTCTCGTGCCCCTTTTTTGAGCCCGAGAGGGCCTCTTTAATAGGATGCAAGGGTACCCTTGGGAAATTTGCCCATCCTTTCTTCGGCGGCGAGCGAGGGGGGAAGTGAGACGGAGAAGCCGTCTCAGAAGGCGGCGGGACTTCTCAAAAGCCCTCGCGCCTTCTGGAAGGTCGGAAGACCGGGGGACTTTCGAGACTTCTGAGGAGGCCTTTAGCGCCCCGTAAGTGAACGTTCCTTCGTTCCCCCCCCCCCCACACACGATTTCTCGCCTCCCAGTGCGCGACGCCCAATCAATGTTTGAAGCGCCCGCGCTAGGGTCGCAGATGCGTTATGCCGGCCCTGCCATGGTTGCCTCACGGAGCGCAACTCGATCGAGCCGCCTTGCCATAATCGGACTGGGCGAAGTGAACCCCACCCTCCCCCTCAGAAATCGTGGGGGGTAGGTGTAGGGTTCGCATGCGGCCCCCTATCATGATCCAAAGGGCGAGCCCCTGCAAACGGCCTGGACTCCTGGGCGAGCCCCGCGGCGACGACGAGGGGCGGCGAGCGCGAGGAGACAGCGAGGGGAGCGCATCGGCATCGGGAGTGCCGGGAGCAAGAGGCGCCACAAACATACCCATCGGTCGGAAGAAGTAAGCAGAACATGAAACAGGGAGGCGTTGAAAGTAGATCCTCCCTCCTTCAAGCCCTCCTCCTCCGCCTCCCTCCCTCCTCGAATACTCCTCCGTCCCTCCTCCTCCATCCCCTCTCTTCGGACTCTCCTCAGTCTTTTTGTTGACCCAGGTAGGCCGCCGGGCACGATCACCCGTGGCGTCAGACTCCTCCTCCTCCTCCTCCTCCTCCTCCTCCTCCTCCTCCTCCTCTTCCTCCTCTGGAACTCCTCCATCGCCTCCAGAAGCTGCCGCGCAACGAGGCCACCCAAGGGGGGAGGGGGGAGACGAGGGCCACGCCACCGTCCTCCTCCCCGTCCTGGTCCGGCGGCCGCGCGCCGCGGCCTTCTCGACCAAGGACGGCCACAGGATGTGTGGGAAGTGCTCGGACCGGCAGCAGATGGGGATGTTGTTGAGTGACGCGTCGGCCGTGCCGGGCCTGGCCGGAGGGAAAACGCTCCTCCTCGACGTCCTCGTCGTCCTTGCGGTCGCCCTCGTCGTCGTCATCCTCTTCCTCGATATCGTCCGTCTCGTCGTCGTCAACGCCGTCGTCCTCGTCCTCAACGTCGGCGAGCGCTTGCGTCATTACGCATTCCTGGCCTAGCCCAGGCGGAGAAAATACAGCTCTTGGGCCAAATGCGGAGCTGGCCACGGCCGGTCGTCCGAAGAACAGTCATGAGGGAGCGGGAGGTGGAAGGGGCAGGACCAGTCAGTGTCGAAGCGGGAGGACGGGTTCACTCGGAGCACGCGTCGGATCGGGCCACATCGGCACAGAGCCGGACTCGGATCGGAAACGCAAGGACGCACAACGACACCGCATAAGCATCGGGCCGCGTCGAATCGAGCTCCTTCTCCTCATCCTTGTCCTCCTCCTCCTCTTCCTCCTATTCCTCCTCTTCCTCATCCTTCTCCTCCTCCTCTTCCTCCTCCTCCCCGTCCAACCTCATCATGCTCCTATTCCTATTCCTATTCCTATTCCTATTCCTCATTCTCCTCCTACTCCTCCTCCTCCTCCTCCAGCTCGAAATCGACCCCCCGAGCCCTCCTGGGGTCCAAACGCACCAATGTTCCAAGCTGCGTCGGGCCGTGGCGACGGCCCCCCCCCCCCCCCAGGAAGACAAGGACAACTCGGCCTCTTTCTCCTCCTCCTCGCCCCTCCTCCTCCACCTCCTCCTCCACCTCCTCCTCGCCCCTCCTCCTCCTCCTCCTCCTCCTCCTCCTCCTCCTCCTCCTCCTCCTCCTGCCTCTCCCCTTCTTCGATCATCCATCGTCGAGCCTGTGCCCCTCGATTCTCGATCCTCGACCCTCGCGCCTCCATCCTGGACCCTCGCACCTTGACCCTCGAACTACGAGCCTCGACCCTCGAGCCTCGACCCTCGAGCCTCGACCCTCGAGTCTCCATCGTCGACCCTCGAGCCTCGACCCTCGAGCCCCTCGAGCCCCTCGATCCTCGAGTTTCGACTCTCTGATCTCGACCCTCGAACTTCGAGGCTCGCACCTCGACCCTCGAACTCCGACCCTCGAGCCTCCTCGAGCCTCCTCGAGCCTCGTCCCTCCTCCTCATCCGCGGTCCTCGAACCCGGCACCTGGATCCTCGAGCCTCGGAGCAAACACGGAACGCAAAAGGAGTCCTACCATGTGGAGGGCCGATCAAGGAACGCAGAGGCGGTTCTGGCCGCGGGGAAATCCGACCACGAATAGCCAGACCGACCCACGTCTGGGGAGCGGCCCGAAAACCCGACCCCCTTCCTGAGCCTGACGTGATCTTCACTTCGTCGGCTTGACAGTGTGCAACGACTGGCTGTCAGGAGCTTGTATCGGGGATGGACAGACCTCCCTTTAGTAAAACGTGGTTTAGTGAAAACGACCTGAGGCCCAAACCTTGCGGGCGCAAGCCTGGAAATAACGGCCACGGCGCCCTCTCGAGAACCGAAAACGGACAATTCACTAATCGACGTGTCACTGTTGGGGGTTCTGTCCACCCCCGATTGTAAGGATTCGAATGGGATCGGGCGGACATAAGTCATTATGTGGTCGTACATTCCCCGCATCTTCCCTTCGTCCTACCCCTCCTCCTCTCTTCACGCGGAACTCGAAATCCACAGTAAGGACGGGCGGCAAGGATGCAAAGGCCTTGGACGCCGGGGTTGGCAATTGTTGCGCGGCGGACTGCTCACACCCTGAAGAGCCGGCCAGTGAAAACCGCGCAGGATGGGCCGCAGAGGCAAGGACGTAAAGGCACCCTAAGGGCATCCGTGCGTCCTTACTATGAGTTTTGACTGTATCCCTTGCATCCGAATCCTGCGTTTTGCCTTCATCCGCCCCAACAGGAAGCAGGGAACTAGCACGCATTACCGGATCAAGCTGACACTAGTCCGCACACAAACACATACGCAGACGACACGCGCACGCGAGCACAACCGCACAACAAACACAAACAACAAAACACGCACACGCCCACTCACACGAACGCGCTTGCGACGACACGGGGGCCAGCGAGACAAGAGCACGGTGGGCGGCGCTGGCTTCGATACTGAAGCGCCAGGCTGCTGGCAAAGAAATGGATCAGGAAGGACATGCAGAGCGCACTAAACAGGAGGGGCATGTGTGAGAGACGTACGTGTGGCACGTGTATACGCGCTACAGTGTGCAAAGAGATGAGGGCCCACGCCCGAGACCAGGCGTGGCTCAAGCCAGCCCCTGCACTGAGACAGGGGGGAAGCACGGTGGGCCAAGCAGAGCGAATCGGCTGCACGTAAGAGTGACCTTTGGTAAGAGTGACCTTTTGTGCGCGGCTTTTTCGGGGGCGCGAGGAGGCCAACACACAAACGCGCAAGACGCTAATATCGCAACGAGCGCGGCGATCGGGGGACCCCAGTGAGCGCACACCAAAGGTCACTCCGGCGAAAGGTCACTCTTACGTGTGGTCGAGCGAAGGGGGGGCAGCGAGGAGCGACACCAGACCAGCCGAGGGGGGGAGGCGCGCGGAGGAGGCAGACGCGCCGGCGCGAAGGGGCGGCGAGCCGACCGGCGGAGGGGGGGGGGGGAGCCGACGGGGAGAGCGAGGGCACCACGCCACAAAAGGGCACGGAGAGGCACGGCGAGGCAGCCGAGGAGGGGGGCGGGAAGGACATCGGGGAGCAGAACTCTATGTACACCGACGCGCTTTCCGGCCCCGCGCTGAAACTCGCGGAGGAAAGCGGATCCTGGCTTTTACGGGATCCTGGTGTATACATGTTTCGTTGCTTCCCCGGGGAATGTCGGAGAAAGTATACACCACAACACCCCGATGTCGTCCCCGACCCTAAAAAACATCCTAGGACTGAAGAAGCAGCCCGCCACTGGCCATGTATATGCTCCAATTTCCGAGAAAGGAGGAAAGGACCACTGACCAAACTGCCAGGACTGCGAGCGGGCCGCCTTTGCACAGTGCCTGGGTTGGAGGAAAGATCGGCAAGGGGGGGGAACCCGTCGGAGGGAGGAAAGGAGCCACAGCACACAGGCAGGGGGGGGGGAAGGGAAGGGAAGGGCAGTACTCAGCTCAGCGGGCCCGTGCGCGGGACCCTCTTCCGCGCGACCTGGGCACGCGAGTCTAAGCGCACCTGCAACTCTCCAATTACAGTCAACCCGTATAATAAGGACGCGCGGTAAGGACGCAAAGGGCCTTGGGAAGGTTGTCCATCCTTCCTATGCGGGCTGACCGTGCTAAGGGATTGCTGCATCCCACCAGCCCTTTGGGCTAAGGTGGTCTAGCGGAATGTGTCCCGCCTGTTGGAACAACAAAAAAACCTCTTCC